ATACAAAGAGAAAAGATTGCCAGAATGTATCGTTATTAATCTTTGTTGCGCTCCACAAATTGGTGTAGATAATTATCATGGTATCGTATTACTGTTTCACGGTTGTTTCTGGCATGGTTGTCTATGATATTTTAAAATAAATAGAGATTTTTCTTTAACAATTGGCGATACAGTGAACGAAAGATCCAAGAGAACCAGTGCTATCAATGAAAAATAGTATCGTGCAATTACCAGCTGATCAAAATGTGAAAATGTCTTTTTAATAAAGAAATTCGCGACTACGAGGATCATCGACATTTTATTTAAGAAAATGAAGGTTATTGAAGACAAAAGTCCCTCAACCCACGTAATGCATTCTTGGATGACGTACAGGGAATACAGTTAAAAAGTACGAATGACAGGGGACAGAAATAATTAAGTACGTCGACAATCGTTCATTATCCCTTGTAAACGGTTTAATCATGTGTAATGTGTTACCACGACAAAACTTATACCGTTCTGTACTACCATTAAAAATGCATAACAAGTTAATTTTTCCACTGTGTCGTACATGTTGAGGAAATATAATTCAGGAAGATAGTCCGCCCGAAGATGCGAATGACTGTATTTTGAAGGATACATGGATATCTGAAGAAGTCAAAATGGCTGTTCAAGTAAATTTTGTTGTGAAAAATGTTCTTGAAATACGGCAGTATAGAATGATACAATTAAATCAAAAAACTAAAGATGGAGGTTTATGCGCGAATTACATCGATGAGTTTTTTAAGCAACAAATACAGGCCTCTGCTTTCCCCTCCGAGTGTCTCACAAATGAAGGTGAGGATACGTAGATTCATAAAATACACGAGAGACTGAAAGATGGAACATCAATAAAAGTGAAATAGATAATAATGATTGATTAAGATCTGTTGCTAAATTGTGTCTGAATTCTTTGTGGGGCAAATAAGGCCAACGCGAGAATTAAAAAAAAAAAAAAACCAGAAGTCATAATGACCGCTAAAAGATTGGTGGAGTTAATTACCCGTTCAAAAATAGATGGTAACAGTATTTTGGCTGTAAACGCTGATACTTTGTATGTGAACAAGAGCTATAAAATGCAGATCCCAAATCCAACTGTGTCAACTAACGCAGTTATAGCAGCTTTTGTTACTGCTCAAGCTTGGTTGAAATTGTTTAGCTACTTACACAAATTGGGACCGTGTGCACTATATTGTGACACAGATTCCCTTTTTCACGTGAGCTGAGAACGAGAGCCCGATTCATCTCTGGGTACAGCACTTGGCTTTCTTACGGACGAATTATTCAAGGAAGGTATCGGTACGTACATAACATCGTTTATATCCGTCGGGCCAAAGTTTTACGCGTATAAATATAAAAAGCCTGATCAGGACGGAGACTGTGTTTGTAAGGTAAAGGGTATTAAATTAAATTATATCAACGTTAAAAGATAAATTTTGACACAGTTCAAAAATTTATTACATTCGATGTATCAAAAATCACCTAGTCAAATAATGCTATACGGAGAAGAACTTTTTATGACGTGTAACGCAACCTAAAACAAAAACTTGCAAACCAGTTTACGGGAATAGGAGATTTGTAACTGCAGATGCACGTTACCCATATGGTTACAAACACGCGTCTAAGCAGTAATTTTACGGATGCTTCTCGCATTGTGATGATTCGATCAATTTACGGTATGATAATGGAGCAAAGGAAGGGGAAATGCGCACTTATCCAAAGTACGACCGTAGCCTTTGGTTCGATCATTTCACTTTTAATGGTAAACGTTTCAACAACCAACTGATAAGATGGATCTGAAACTAAATAAATCAAACTCGAATGCAACTCATCTCAAGAGCGATGATGATGATTGTCGAATTTCACGATTAGATAAATCATACAAAAAAACGAAAAATGTGTTTCTTTAAATGTTTTCCACGACCCAAAAAAATGAATACAAACTTATAAAAAACTAATCATAGAAAAATGTTTAAGGCCTATACATGACTCATTAAAAGTAAGAAATTTTAAGTGAGAGTGTTCTGCGATGTTAACAAATAAATAAATGTATCTAATTACTACCTGCCAGCACATTCTTAAAACCGTATCGTTTATAATCAGCTTTAGCACAAGCATTAAAATAAATGTTTAAACTTTTATCGATTAATAAAACGTATCGCAAGAAATTTCACATCAGTACATTTTTTAACTTTGAAAAGCAAAATTTGTCTTAAGCTGTGGCAGTGGCGGTGGCACCAAAAAGGGCTCAACTAATGGTTGAACTTAACGAAACAAGCTGATTGTATGTTGTAAAATATATTTCATCATGGTAAAAACCAGCACGATATATTGCTAAACTTGCAATACATTGTCATCATTAGAAATTTACAAAATCACGCACAAATACAGCATTTTTCAAGACAAGTGTATCTGGAAAATCCTCGGTTCTTGTAAAAAGTGTAATGGAACGCTACCTCCCGACCGTTTGGCTATCTTTTCTTGGATCTCAAGCAAAAAAACACCGTACAATTGTCGATTTCGAACTTACATTTTCCCAGATGACGAGTATATGTACGTATACGTGGCTAAAAAGCAGATGAAAAGAAGTGAAACGGTGAGCCAACTTCCAATTGTATCGTTGTGATGGCGTCAAAGTCATGTTCCCTATTTAGTCGAGAACACGTTACCATTTTAAAAGCTTTTCATCATCTCGTCATCAAACAACAAAGGTCCCTGTTGCGCAAAGCCGATAAGACACTTACCAAGTACATTTGCAAGTGTGCATTGAATATTCTCGAAGGAAACATCAACAATCATGCTTCCTCAGATTATTTGCAAGCTCTATGGATTGAATAAATTATTTGGTAAAAAAGGAATCGTTGGGCTTGAGTACGAAAAACTGTTAGACAACGATAGGGAACCTATCGCTCGTCTGTTGGGCGCAGATTTCGAAGAAATTCTTTTCGTAGTTTCTAGTTTGAGCGAGTTTGAATAAGCCTTATTTAACATTGAAAAGTACTATACGACGGAGACAGTAACTTGCAAGATATCAAGATTTACGGGTCCAACTGGTCCTTGAAGTTTACAATGCGTTATAAGGAAAAAGCCATCGAGATTGAAGAAATAATACGACAAAGTGAAAACGAGAGTGCTGCAAAGAAGTATCATCGAAGTTCAGTGTTGAAAAAAGTAGCGTTCAATCATCTACACAAATTTAATGTACATTGCGTCGATTGTAATTTACACACATTCAGCGAAATATCAGATTACATGCCTACCATAGCCCAGAAATTTATAAACTTCATTTTAGAAAAAGGTAGTAGTGTGCATGAAGCACAAATTCATTACTGTTCACCAAACATTGTACAAAATATTGTGAGTGATTTGAATGATAAAACTGTGCAAAGTATGTACAAAAAAATTGTATCACATGACATTGTAAAACAGGAGACTCTGACAAAAGATCTCATGTGTGATATTGTATACAATATTGCGTCTTTTCATGTCAATACCCTTGTTAATGCTATGAATTATAGAGTAAAATACAATAAATCAATAAATCTATTTATCTTGTTGTTATTTCACCGTAAACTTACTTCTTTTCCTAATAATCGCTTTCAGTATAATCGCTCATTAAACACATACACAAAGAAAATGCAAAGAGGGAGAATGTACGATGGCCTGCCTGGAAAGTCTCTTAAGTTCAGGTGTAGGAGAAGGCGATACCCCTTCCTACAGTAAGTATACGGTGGCACAGTGGCTTCGTTCAGAAACTCTTACCAGGTGATGTAGGAGGAGGGGTAGTCCTCTCACTTCCTTGTAAGTAAGTGGTTGCACAATGGCCCATTCGGAAACTCTCACCAAGTGTGGTAAGGGTTTGTTGTGACTGGCCACTGTGTTGCAATAACTACTAACGTAACTTTACCAATTAAAAACTCAGATCATTTTTTATAAGTTTGAAAAGCACGCATCCAAAACCCATAAACATAATTTTGTGTCAAAGCACCTGTTCTCTTTAAAAAACAATGTAACTTACAGCTCAGTTGGTTAAGCTTCTTTATTTTATGAATACTGTTATAATGAGGAAATTGATATTTTAAAGCAGTTTTCAAATGAAAGTCTTCACCAATTTTAACGTTTAAATAAATTGATTCTCTTCTAAACAAAATAACTTTTCAATGAATTTATGCAATGAGTAACAGATGAAATAGACACTCTTGATAACAGTAGAATCGTATATCAGTTTAAAAAAAAAATTTAGTATTATCTGTTTGTATCTTCAACGAACTTTACAATTTTGATTGAAATTTGGTAAAAAGCCGTCACAAAATCAAATTTTATAAAAAGAATAATATCAGAAATGGTGTGCATTTGTTTAAACAATAATATAATAAATTAGAAAGAGGATATTTAGTCACTTAATAAAATGTTCTTTTTTGTGGTAAATCTTAGAAGGTAGTAAAAAGTGTCAAATCTATGCTTATTATTTATAAATACGACACTCAAGCACAGTAAAAACCAAAGAAACTCCAATAAAGATTGTTCAATCATGAGAAGTGACTATTGAGGTAGTATCGACAGAATGAACAGCGTGTGTCCGATTCACGATTAATATTACTAAGGGTACTTAAGTTCTAGTCATTTTATGCATCCAAAAGACTAGGTCTAGCGAAATTATCAGTCAGAAAAAAGTTTATCTCTATCACTGATAGAGTTCAATTCGGTCATGGAGTTCAAGTTTTTGGAGCTGCCAGATTTTTATGTAAAAGAATTTGGGTTACAAAATATTTTTAAATAATCCTGGAATGTGAAGCTACTTTTGAGAGCCCTTATATGAACTTCATCAAGTCTACACAAATAATTTTGTTTTGGATAGTATCAATCCATGTTCCGAACAATAAATAAATCAAATGAGTCAAGCTTTTTTCTGTTGTTAATATGATAGACTTCGTATTTTTACGCAAAGAAAAGAAATAAGAATGAAATTAAAGCTGTCGTACCTTGATTTAAGCAGCACTTTTTTAGAAATGCAAACTGCCGTAAATGCATCTTCAAGAAGACAAATTTCTGATTTCCTGCAGTTTAATGGACGGCAGAGTTCATCTAAAATATGACAACAACTTAGAAAGTTTTGATTGATTGCTTAAAAGAATGAAGTTTATTTTTTATGCTACTTTTCAAACTGTTAATATAATTGTTATATTTATTTAAGTAATGTTATAAGAGAATCATTAACATGTTTTTAAGAAAGACACTAACATTTTCTTCTTCAAGAGTTAGACTGACTTTGAACAATTTAAACAAAGTCTTATTGTTTCACTGTAATGATATATTTTTTAAAGTATCAGCTTCTTTAGGCATGTTAAGTGATTTACAAACAAAGCCAAACATGTGAGTTCACGTTATCATCACTTTTAATTAAAACAAAAATTTTATATAGAAAAGTTGGCTAAGTTGGCAGTAAAAAAAGAGAAAATCAGTGCAACAGTGAGAGCTGAAAAATTAGCTCCACAAATTATAAAATGACAATATATGTAGTTTTTTAATTTTCCCTTTATCATTTAACCCTGTCTTGAATTTAAAACTGACGATTATGGTCTGCAATGTCACGCTCCTGTACAGGCTGAAAGACCAGAAAATAGTCCAACTATTTATTTATTCATAGAATAGGAAAGGAAAAAAATTATTGTTTTATGAAAAACGTGTTTTAACGTGTTTCTTTTCTTATAAGAGCTTTAACTCTATTCAACTCTTTGGTATTGCCTCTATTTGGATATTAATAATTTATTCCAATACAATACTTTACACAATCTTATAACATTGAAATATTTTATTTTAATACGAAAAATATGTTATTGTAACTTCTTTTCAATTCAAAAATTAATGAACTGAGAAGTCAGATTTTAGACCACACTCAATAAACAGTTGCGAGCTACTAACTAAAACGCCGTGCAAAGAAATGCACCTTGCGCGAAGTTTTAGTCAAAACTTCTTCGTCTTACATACTTTTATAGAACTCTTGCTGACTTCATGTGTTAAGGATAAGCGGCTCATTTTAGTTGTCACTTGACACTTTCAAGAGCCAAGAAGTACATAGTTTACTTTTTTAGAAGACGACTTTCGTTATAAATAACTTTTTTTAGAGTCTCAAAATTTGATCATTAAATAGAGAAAAACACATTTATTCATGCAAGTCAGCACTGAACGGTATCCCCTTCTTAAAACTATCGCCGTTCCCCGTAAACATATACATACACCCCTATATTATACATTATTTTAAGGGAATTCAGCCTCTAATCCCCCGTCATTCCCCATCCTCTTCTTCCATTTCCTATCCATCACTTTCAAAACACCTTGTTATTCGTTTGTTTTCTTGCTGTGTTTGATATTTTATAACATTTCCTTTACCCCTTTTATCCCCTGCGCATCACCCACAGTTTCAACCGTTTTGTAGTCAAAGATTATCCCAAAAGTTCATTTGGTTATCTTAGGGTTGATTTAATTCTTTTGAGGTGAATTGCATGTGCAGTTTAACGATGGGTCCAGATGAGTTTTAAGGACTCAACAGTTTGGAAAATAATTGCACTTTGTTGGGTAGTTAATTTAATAGTGCCAATCAATTCGAGTATTGTCCAAGAGACTTCAATATATTTTTAAAAAGTCTTAAACTTGCATGATAGTGAAATTTTTTAGACATAATACCCTACAATTGTGAAAAATTATTCACCATAAATTTATTAACTGTGAATTTTCATATATCTTTGTGAATATCGTAACCTGGAAAGTCTTTTTCCACATTTTGTACAAGTTCGTTTAGTTTCACATTTATTGTGAATTTTCAGACGTCTATTTAAATGTCTTGATCTCTTCAAACTTTTACTACAATATATGCATTTAATTGTTTTTTTCTGAGTTATGTTTCTTTGGGGCTCTAACCAAATTGTGTTTCAAGGTAAATACAATTTTACAAGTATTACAAACGTATAAAAATTTTCGATACGTCTTTTCATGTTCTATTAATTTTTCAGGGTTCAAAAGTTTTATTTTGCATACATCGCAGAAAAATATATTTTTTAAACTGGAACATACTTTTTTAATACTAGTTGTATTTAAATAGTTGTGTCTAGTTTAATAATATAATTTTACCTTCATTGCATTGTGTGACCTAATATAAGTAACAAGCTTAATTTTTCAATTAATAGTATACACTCGTTGTAGTTTTTTTATATCAATTTTCATTTAATTTGCAAGGAACGTAAAAAAAATTTTTGTTTGTACAAAAAACAGATTATTACGTATTTTTTTCTAAATTTTTCATCTTACACATAAAATTAACTAAAATTTTCAAATTTACATATTACAGATAACATAGTAAAATATAGAACATTTGTAAATGAATCAAAATATTTCTACTTTTAAATTTTTTAACGTGAATAATGTAGAAAGATGAGTATTCAAATTGTTTTGAATGATTAAAAACTTCCGAACCAAACAGTACATTGTATTTACAATTTATTTTTAGCTTCAATTTGAATAAACATACTACTTGAATTCTTACAACTCAAAAGGGCAATACATAACCATCCATTTAAAATATAAGTTTTCTACAAAATGTAATTCTACAGAATCAAGACTTTGACCTTAAGGTTCGTTGATAGCCATCGAAAAAGGTAATACAAAGGAAAATTGTTTTCTATACAAAATAAATAAAAGTGACGAAGAACTGCTTGTACTTAAAGCTTTTTTCGGTATAAAAACTTTAAATCATTTTCTGTCATTAGTAATAACTTATGCATCTATGTTATATTAACATAATCTTGTTATTTTCAACCTTGGACCATTACAAAGGTTATCGAAAATACTTAAGTTTTTTATTAACAAAACTATAAAATTAATTTTTTTAATTAATTCATGTAGTAGAAGCTCCTCATATATGAATATCATCGTCTGTGTTATAAACTCTTTTATGAGTAGCGTGGTCTATGTCATAATAAGTTATTGTTGTTCTTTTAAAATTTTCTAAAATTGTATTGTTAAAAAAATAAGTGTTTTCATTATGGGACGTTAATATTTCATTATTTGTTGAAGAACTATTAACATTACTAGACATTTTCAAACACACACTATTTGGTATCCATTGTTTAGGTACTTTTAAACAATTAGTTTCTCTATAACCAATATTCAATAAAAACGACAAAAATTTTTGGTCTATTGATCTATTATTTGTTTTAATTGATACGTAAAATTTAGAAAAAACCCCCAAATTTTTGAGTATTTAACAGTCTCTTCTAATACGTTAAGCTTATAACTATGTTTAACTATAAGTAAAATTTAACGGAAATCACCTTGTAAAATTATCAATTTGTTTCTTTGCAGTGTGTTTGTATTACACAAATCTCTTAGATTTCTGTCAACTATTTCTCAGGCTTTTTTTGGTATAATAAAAGCTTTGACTCAAATCATGATATGAACTTTACATAATTTTTTTTATCTGATTCTAATTCTAAAAAGCACTTTCAATTCAATTTAAATCCAATGGTTATCCGAAAATTCTATGGATCGTCATTCCCACTGGTAATTAAATCAGGGCTATACCTGTCTAAGACATAGGTATAATTTTTCTGTTTATTAAAATGTAATATATAAACGTTTTATAAAAAAAGTCTTACCAGAACCACTAAGACCGTTAATAACAAAAATTTTGCTTTCAAATTTGGTAACTTTTAAAAAAATAAGTTTTTGATCATTATTTAACTTTGAAAGTATTTCACAAAATTTTGCTGTGTAAATTTCACTTTCAATTGTGTCATTAACAGAACTTTTTTCTATGTGTGTGATTGGTTCTTGTAAATCAAAATTCACGCAAGATTTCTCATTAGGATAAAAAATTTCATTTAAATGTAAAAAAGCTGAATTTTCATTATCTTTACAATCTACCACGAAAGTTTTTTCATATGTTAGCCAAATTGTATTTCCTTGAGAGTTATCGGACGTGATGAACCATGCAAAAAAATTATGTTATTAAAATGTTAACATCACATTGCTAGCTTCTATGAAAATTTTGTCAATTTGTGAATCATTCCTTACTAACCCCATAGTAATAGCTGTTTCTTTAACTGTGCAAATAATATTATTAAAAGTTTTTAAATCAGAAAATAATGTTTTACCTCGAACCTTATTTAGTATTGACTGTAAGTAAAACCTCTATTGATCTTTTAAAGAAACATTATTTATGTTACCTATGGTAATTTTTTTTTGTAAATATTTTGGTCTTTTCCATGGTTTTACTTTATTTGTGATTATTATTAGGCATTATATCCCTGATAATTCCTAAGCTGTAACAGAGACCCAGCTGAGCCCTCATAACAGCCACATTATGATTCGCATAATTCAATACTACGTATAAACAGAGTCTATATTATACATACATATAGGAGGAAATCTAAAAAAAATTGTTTACATCTATAAAAAATTTTTTGTTTTAGGTACACCCTTAAAACTGTGAGTGGCTAAAGGAGGGTTAGAAAAAAGAGGAGAGGGTGAGGAAGGTTTAGTAAAATGGCCCTTTAAATATATAATATACTATAGTAATGTGTCTTGTATGTATTCAAATACATATGTCTATTGCGTGTCTCTTTTTTTAGGGGGAGAGGGATTTTGGTTGGACACGTACTTATATTACAAAGGAACATCAATAACTAATATGGGATAAGTTATGTACACAAAATTCCAAAAATTAATCATGAACAAACTAAACGTATATTTAACCAATGATATAATATCAAAATATAAAGACTCCAATTTGATACATTCATAAAAATTTTAGTTTAATGAAAAAAATGCCAGTCGTGGAGTTTGATTTAAACCCAAACGGATAGGCGACTAAACGGAATACTAACAATAAAAAACTTGATTTATTGATTCATAAATAGCTAACTAACACGTAAGTATCATTTCCTCAAATTAAATATAGTAACTCAACGATCTACATCAAATAAATGCAAAAATTATAATAGGATGCCCACTATCACGTGGGTATCATACGAAATAAAGAGACTCAATAGAGTCTTACTCACAAACTGATAAATTAAAATTCTGATTAG